GTCCAGGAGAGACCCAGCCCTGAGGCCCACTGGGCTCTGGACCCCTGTTGAAGAAAAAGTTATTTATGATGCTTGTTAAAGACGGCAAGGAAGTCTTTATTCCAGGGAGGCTATTGAGATAGGTGGAGGGACCACTGCACCGGGGTCTTGCAGTGTAGAGAGATTGGAACCCCTTCCGAATACTACAAGAAAAACTGGAGCTTTATAGCAAAGGAGCAGGGGTGGGGCGGGCAGTGGATGGAAGAGTACTAAGAGGAAGCGCCAGGGGTGAAGGGAGATTCCAGCTCAACCAACCTCACAGGGTTCTTGCTGAAGGTAAGTCAGGGTGATCAGATTCCCCCCGGGGGTTGGTGGGAGAGGAGGAACCCCATTAGATATCCAGGGTGGTCAGGTATGGAGGATGGGCAGTTCTGACTTAGCAGGATTCTTGCTACAAATGGACAGCGCCCAGATGGATGCTGAAGCCCAAAACTTGAGACCGAGATGAAGAAGAGCTCAGAGGAGCCTGAGTGGAGTTTGGTCAGGGAGAGTCTTTGTCCTTCCCCTGGGAAGGGAGGAGGAAGTGGTCAGGAGACTGGAGAGCCCTGTGAGTGAGGCTGGAAGGGGGCTGCCTGGCAGACTTCCTGGAGGAGGCGAATCTGTTGGGTGTAATTTACAGCAAACTCAACTCGACAGGTTTAAGCAACAGGTTGATTTATCAGCTCACGAATGTGCCGGGTCCTAGGGGCTGGCTACAGCATCAAGCCTCAGGCTTTGTTGTCTGAGCCCTGCCTTCCTTGGGGACGGTCTCTCCACCCCATGTTGGTAACAAAGGCTGGTTTCATCCCCACTCAGCAGACCCAAAGGAAACTCCCAGAAGTTCATGAGTGCGTCATCCTGAACCATGCGCTGGGTTCCGTCCATGGACATTTAATGTAATTATTAATTATATTAATATAATATGCTAATATATTAATATAATTTGTTAATATAATTCATATAATGGGAGGAGGTGATGGAGAGGAAGGGGGAAGTGATGGGGAGGAGAGGGGAGGTGATGGGTTTAGGGCTACTGTTTCAATATTTGTTTCATTATGTCCCCTCTGTTCCTCCTTCCATGCCCTCTTTTGGATTAATTCAGTAGTTTTTAGAATTCCATTTTGATTCAGCTCTCATCATTTTAGCCTAATTTTTTTTGATGTTTTTTGTTCTTTGGGGGGTTTTTTTGAGGAAGATTAACCCTGAGCTAACATCTGCTGCCAATTCTCCTCTCTTTGCTGAGGAAGAGTGGCCCTGAGCTAACATCCATGCCCATCTTCCTCTACTTTATACGTGGGACGCCTACCACAGCATGGCTTGCCAAGCGGTGCCATGGCCACACCCGGGATCTGAACCGGCGAACCCCAGGTGCTGAAGCAGAACGTGTGCACTTAACCACTGTGCCACCCGGCCGGCCCCTAGCGTAATTTTTTTAATAGTACCCCTGAGAATGATGAGACACATTCTTAAACTTTTCATGTTCTACTTGGCGTGAATATTGTACCCCTTCACCAAAAACGTAGCAACTTTGAAGTGATGCATGCCCATCTGTGGTCCTCACCCATCTCTTGTGCTATAGTTGTCACCTGAACAGCTTTAAACAGGTGTTGCCCAGCTCTCTGGCATCTGCCAGCTGTCTCCAGTGCCTTCCGAGAGATCTGCTTTTTGTTTTAGTGTTGGAGGGGTAGATTTTTGTTAAACTTGTAAACTTGAGATAACAGTGGGTTCACATGCAGTTGTAAGAAATAACACAGAGAGATCTTAAGTGCTCTTCACGCAGTCCCCTCAGTGGTAACATCTTGCAGACCTGGAATACACTGTCACACGAGGAAATTGGCTTTGCTACAATCTGCCTCAGTTCTTCCTTTTCACATGCACTCATTTGCAACTGGGTCTGCCGTTTTTCCCCTCCTGTAAACCTGTGTAACACAATCACAGTCAAGATACAGAGAGCCGGACACTCAAGGATCCCTCCATGTGCGGGTTTATAGCCACACCCTCCTCCCTGCCCTGGGCCACTGCTCGTCTGCTCTCCCTCTCTATAATTTTGTCATTTCAGGAATGCTAAGTAAATAGAATCGTAGAGTATGTGAACTCTTCAGATTGGCTTTTTTCACTCAACTGAGTTCCCTTTCGATTCATGCGTGTGGCTGCCTGTGTCAATAGTTCTGTCAAGTTAAAAAGCAAACTTGCCTATTTTATCTCAAAATGAGTTTATTCATGAATAGCCAAAAAAATTGCAATTTGGAATGTGCATACTCTGGAAGACCATAGTCAAATCCAGGAAATGAGGGGAACTGCTTTTATAGGGAAAAAAGGGGGAGCCGGGAAGGGCTGCTTTAAAGGAAAGTCCATTGGGGGAAAGTGACAGTTCAGGGTGGCAACTGGCTTCTCATTGGCTGGGCTGTGGCATTTCTCATTGGCTGGGCTGTGGCGTTTCTCATTGGCTGGGCTGTGGGGTTTTTCACTGGCTGGGCTGTGGGGTTTCTCACTGGCTGGGCTGTGGCGTTTCTCATTGGCTGGGCTGTGGCGTTTCTCATTGGCTGGGCTGTGGCGTTTCTCATTGGCTGGGCTGTGGCATTTCTCATTGGCTGGGCTGTGGCGTTTCTCATTGGCTGGGCTGTGGCGTTTCTCATTGGCTGGGCTGTGGCATTTCTCATTGGCTGGGCTGTGGCGTTTCTCACTGGCTGGGCTGTGGGGTTTCTCACTGGCTGGGCTGTGGCATTTCTCATTGGCTGGGCTGTGGCGTTTCTCATTGGCTGGGCTGTGGGGTTTCTCATTGGCTGGGCTGTGGCATTTCTCATTGGCTGGGCTGTGGCGTTTCTCACTGGCTGGGCTGTGGCATTTCTCATTGGCTGGGCTGTTGCCAGGTGGGGAGAGAAGTCTTTCTTCAGTAGTCAAGTAGTTGTACTTCCTGTCGGAGGGTAAGTCCCTCTCTTCTTTGATGTAATTGACCATGTGATGGGGGTGAGAACGCCCCCTGCAGGCTTTCCCAGCTCGGGTTTAGTTAAGGTTCTTTTATTAATTTCCACAGTTCTTTCTTTTTTATAGCTGGATTGAGGTCCACAGATAGGTTTCCCATTTGGTCGGGGGTCCCACACAAACTGCTCCATTCTTACCAGAAGTGAATGCCCCATCCCATCTCCGTGGCCCAGTGGGGGTAGGCAGGGTCCTGAGGGGCCAGGCTGGGTTGTGTCCCCCCACCGCCACCCTGATGACACCTGCTATCACCTCCAGCCAGGCTGAGCCCCGTGGAGGTGGTTCAGGGAAGGGCACACGGGCCCAGCAGCCCACACACGTCTTTCTTCTCTCCCCATCAGTCAGAGTGGCTTCTCTTCCTAACACTCCGAGCAGGAGGACAGATCTGGCTGCATCTTGTGCCTGTCTGCCCACCAGAAGGGGGCCACTGATGGGAGAGCTTCCTAGACTGCTTGCTGGACTGGTGGACTATGCCCCAGGTGACCCCTGCCTCCAAATGAATCTGATAGACAGAATGGCAGGGACCTGGGGCGACAGCCAGCTTGCAGGTGGCTGGAGGCCCCTCACCTCCTCCTCCCACCTCCCCAGCTGCACCTGGAACTCCAGGTGTCCTTCCCCCAGCCCTGAGGCTGGGTGTACCCCCTTGGGCCAGAGCAGCTCCCACAGCCTGACAGGCTGCTCCCAGGAAAAGGGACACTTCTGGGAAGGCCTCTTTCTGAGTGGACACAACATCTGGCCAAATAAGGATGTCGCATCCATTTCCTTGTCAACAATTTCAAAAATATACAGGCCGCCTTCCTCCAAAATACAAAGCCCTGGCCTCCCTTTGGGACACGTGGTCCGCTGAGCCCCAGGACCTAGACCTCAGATTGTCCCAAGACTGACAGTCCCTGCACCCCTGGGTCACCCCTGGCATCCCTGAGTGCTTGGTCCTGGTGGTGCCAGGCCCTGTGGGGAAGCCCTTGGCTCCAGACACAGGCGTCTTCAGCTTCCTGCCTCTCTGGCCTTGCGGACCTGCGGGCCTCCCCCTATCCCCACCCCTATCTCCCAGAGCCCCACCTGGAGGCCGGGCCTCCTGCCAGCAGCCCAGAGGGCGACCCGCTCCAGGACCATTGGAGGTGCGGGCTCCCTCCCCTTTCTGTAAGCCTCGGAGAACGCTTGTTTCCCTTCCATCTCCTGCGCTCACTCGCCTGTCTTCTCCCTCCACAGTGGTATTTATTTCAGCCAGCGCCGCTCATCCCTGACCTCCGCTGGGGACAGCAGGGTCCCTGAGGGGGCTGCCCAGCCTGTGAGTCGCCTGTGTGCAGCTCCAGCCACTCCCCGAGCCCTGACCCGCCAGCCTACGGGGCACAGCTCCCCGGGCTGGGGCCCTGTTGCTGCTCGCCGCCCTAGAGGCCGCTGGTGTAATAAAAGCTCGTTTCCAAGATTCACAAGGGGCTTCGGCCTCTTACGGCAGGCAGGTGAGCCTGGGGTCAGCGCCCAGGGCTGGAGCCCCAGCTCTCATCTGGCCCCCGCACCTCCGTTCCTTCATCTGCAGCCCAGCCTTTCAGAGCGGAGGGGGGAGGAGGGTTTGAAGATCCGTGTCCTGAGCATTTGGAAGAAATTATACCACCGCAGGGCGGTCCTGGTCCGCTTCCCCCAGCCTTCCCCAGGAAGACGTCTTGGAAGAACTCTGGTACATCATCACACCAGGCTGTTGACATCCATACACTTCACTGATCTTATTCACACTTCTCCAGGGTCACAAGCACATGTGTGTGTGCGCGCGCGCATGCGTGTCCCGGGGCTGCCCGTTCACTGGCTCACTCCTCTCAGATCAGAGACTTGAACTCAACGGGGAGCCCAGGAATGGCCCCCACTCCCTCTGCCTCCAGGGGGCTGCTTACTCCCACAGTTGATGCCTCAGTGGCTCCTGACCAAGTTGCCACCTGCTGACCTGGGTCGGGGGGTGGGGAGCGACAGGGGCGTGTGTGCTGGGGGCTGTGGCTGCCCTTCCCCACGTGGTGCCCCCTGACTCAGTTCAGAGCAGGCAGCAGGGTGTGGGGGTCGCAAGGCTGCACTCCCTGGCCCTGGGTGCACACCATCCATCCTCTTGTTACCCCACCCTCCTGGACCGCGGGAAAGTTAACTCAAGCCAGAAAAGGAATCAGACCACAGGTTTGGGGAGGGAAGTGATGTCTTGTGGCCAGGGGGACAGTGGGAGGCCAAGCCCTGTGGCTCCCAGTGACGGGCTGCACCAGGCTCTGGAAAGCAGAGTGGGGCTCTCCACTGTGCTTCCTCAGGAAATGCCCCAAGCCCTGGGGCCTGGCCCAAAGCTGGAATCTGGACTTCTGGGAACGAGGACCACGAACCCGGCCCCAGGCTATCTGGGCCAAATAGAACCGACATGAGGCACTTGGAGGTGGGGTCCTGAGCCTAGCGCTGGGCAGGGGCCTGCGGTGGGTCCAGGGCAGCATCAGCCTCGCCTCATCCCCTGTTGGACAGGAGGGAGCCGGTCAACTGCAGCATCATGGGCTCCTGCTTGGGCGAGTCGGGGGGTGCGACTGGGCCTGAAATCTGCATTTAACCCTTGCCTTCATCTCCTGGGGCTGCTGTAACAAAGGACCGCAAACGGGCTGAACACAACAGAAATTTATTGTCTCACAGTTCAGGAGGCCAGAAGCCGGAGATGAGGGGTGGGCAGGGCTGGCTCCTCGAGTCTCCGGGTATCCATCCCAGGCGTCTCTTCCAGTGCCTGGGGGCTGCGCGGTCCACGGGGTTCCTTGGCTTGTGCATCACCCGATCTCTGTCTTCACCTGTGTGTCTCTGTGTCCTCTTCTTATAAGAACACGAGTCATGTCGGGTTTAGGGCCCACCCTACTCCATTGTGACCTCATCTTAACTAATGACACCTGCAAAGACCCTATTTTCAAATTAGCTCACATTCGGAGGTCCCTGGGGGACGTGAATTGGGAGGGGACCCTATTCAACCCAAACACCCCTCCCCACTGCCCCCTTCTGAGGGCCCGTCACACGAGCGAGGAGGACCTCGTGCCCATCCCCGCGCTGCCCCCTTCCTTGGAGGCCGCTGCGCCCCCTGGCGCCCGGCGGAGCAGCCCCTCCCGCACCTTGTCCCTGAACTCGGCCGATACGTAGTAGTAGACAAAGGGGTCCACACAGCTGTTGAGGGTGCTGAGCGCCAGGCTGGGCATGTAGGCCGCGTACAGGTCCCCCCAGGCATCAGGGCGCGGGGCCGAGTAGTGCAGCAGCAGCAGCACGTTGCTGGGCGCAAAGAAGGCCAGGGCCGAGGCCAGCACCAGCGCTGTCAGCCGCAGTGCGTGGTTGTAGCGCCGGCCGGCGGCGGCCAGCGCACGCAGGGCAGCCCCGTAGCTCAGCAGCATGACCAGCAGGGGCAGGAAGCAGCCAAGCACCGCCAGGCAGGTGAAGGCCGGCCGCCAGTAGGAGGCCTGGGCACCGACGGGCAACACGTCGTGGCAGAGCACGCGGTCTGAGTGCGACAGCTGGTAGGTCTGCCGCTGCAGTGCCAGGGGCAGCGCCAGGGCGGCCGCCACCAGCCAGGCTGCACTGCAGAGCCCGGTGGCGAGGCGCTGGCCTCGCAGGGCGCGGGCCCGCAGCGGGTGCACCACGGCCAGGTAGCGGTCCAGGCTGACGGCAGCCAGCAGCAGCACGGAACTGTACATGTGGCCGTAGAGTGCGGCCGTGGCCAGGCGGCAGGCAGCCTCACCGAAGGGCCAGCGCTGGCCCCACAGGTGGTAGGCGATGCGTGGCGGCAGCACCAGGGCCAGCAGCAGGTCGGCGGCCGCCAGGTTCATGAGCAGCATGGTGGAGGGCAGCCGAGGCACCCGGGTGGCCAGCACCCACAGCGCCAGCCCGTTGGCAGGCAGCCCCACCGCCAAGGCCAGCCCGTAGAGCGCGGGCACCAGCCTCGTGGGCACCCAACCCAGCAGCAGCGCCCGAGAGCTGTCCGGGAGCTCCAGAGTGTCGCTGTCGTTGGCGCGGGCCTGGCCGGGGAAGCTGCGAGGGTGGAGTGGGCCAGGAGTGGCTGCCTGGGGACTGCTCCAGGGCCCCGCCGTGCCACCTGGGGGACAGAAGCAGGAGGAAAGCACTTAGAGCCCAGGAGCCCCCCCGCCTGAGCCGGTCCCTCTGGGTGGATCATGTGCCACGAAGGGGCTGCAATCCGGTCCCAGCTCTCAGGAGCCCCCCGAATTGGGGAAACAGAGCTGGACATGGACACACACAGCCGAGTGGGCTCAGGGCTGGCTTAGAGGGCCTCTCTGTTCCCCGTCTCCCCCTCAGCAGCTCTGTGCCCCCATGCCGGGGCAGGGCCCCAGCTCACTCACCGTCACTGTCACCGTCCCCCACGCTCCCACCCTCGTCGTACATGTTGGGGGTCTGGGTGCCGTCGTCCAGGCTGAGCCCCAGCGCCAGGGGCCACAGCAGCAGGATCGCATGCATCCCGCCAGGGCTGTGGCCAGCTGCTCCGGGCTGCGCCGGCTGACCTCGGGCTTCCTGCTTGCTTGGACCCCCACCCCCAGCTTCCTGAGTGCAGGCGGAGGAGTGGACAGGGCCTGGGGAGATAAACCAGCCCCTGTCCCCAGCGAGCCCGTGGGAGGCCTGTGGTGTGGCCTAAGGAGGCCTGGCAGCAGGGCTCACTCAGTCTGGCAGACGTGCCTTGCGTTGGGCCAGCCAGACGGGGTATGAGGTCCCAGGCTGCCGCGCCCTCTGCCAGCCCCTGTCCAGTCCAGGAAGCCTCTCTGGAACAAGTGGTCACTTCCTGCTGGCCAGTCACATCTGCAGCCCTCCAGATCACGCCCCTCCATCAGGGGCTCTTGGCCCTTCCCGAAGCCTCCCCCCACCTCCTGTCACTGGCGGGCAGGACCCTGCCTCCCCAGGTCAGCGGTCAGAATAGGTGAGCAATCCCTCACCCTGCCCCCGACTCCAGCACCCTGGGTCCTCTGTGGGGCTGCCCCGCCTTCTTGCTGCCTCACCCGTGTGCCAGCGGGGGCCCCTTGGCAGGAGCAGAGTGAGGTGCTGAGAGAAGAAGGTGCCTCTGGAGTCAGGGGGCTGCTGAGGATATCTGAGGGGTCTCAGTCCTCAGCCAGAGCCCCCGACGCTGACTGCATGCTGCCCTAGGGGTGAGGGGAGCCCAGCTGCAGCTCTCAAAGCCCCTTCTGCACCTGTCCTGGCCCCACCCTCAACCTGGGGCCCCGGGTGTGACCAGGGGGTGGTCATGGCCATAAGTGAGGTGGTGGGGCCAGCCCAGGCCAGGGGGCCCTATGAGTCACCCTCCCGGGGGACTGCCCCTCCTCCAGCCCTTCCATGTTCCTGCTCCCAGGTGCCGGGACACCACGTACACTCAGATGGGGGCCAACTGCACATGGAGAAACTGAGGCTCAGAGGGGATGGTGCTTCTCTCCTGCACACGATCGCCCCCGATGCCCCTCTGGGCCTGGGAGGCCTTGAGGGTCCCGTCCTGAGGGAGCCCCAAACTGGGGGTTCTACATGGTTGGGGAGGGAGCCCTGGTGTCATCAGGCCTTGGCCACAGTGCCAGGGGGTCTGGGAGCAGGAGGACCTCAGGGGGCAATGGGAGAGCAGATCCCACACAGCTGTGTCCTGGCATGGCAAGCCCTAATCTAGTCACACAGTTGGGGACGCAGGGACCAGCCAGGAAGTGACCTAGCAGCCCTGGGCAGGGTCAGTGCAGCTGGAGGCCGAGGTGCCAAGGTCCCTGTCCCAGCCCCAGAGTCAGGGATGCTGAGGCCTGGGGAACTCTGGACGGGGCAGGGGTCTCGGCCAGGAACCTCTCCCCCATTTCGGAGCGGTTTCCACAGGCACCAATGACAGATTCAGCCCTATGCCTGTGTCTCTTAGCAATGTGTGACCGATGATACCACAAGAAAGCCAGGAAGAGGACCCCCTGCCCGTCCTCCACGGGCAGAGCAGGAAAGGCGTGCAGGGGAGGCCAGAGGCTGCGGAGGGTGGTCTGACTCAGGTGTTCCGTGTCTGGGAACTACGGCGGGGACACACGCAGGAAAGCCTGTGTGCGCTCCAGCAGCACAGAGAGGGGTGCGTGTCAATGGCCTGTCCCGGAAATGACCCCGTTCCGGCAGGAGGGGCTCCGACTCGGCAGGCCGCTGTCCCAGTCGGGTGACAAGCCGTGCGCAGCACCTCCTGGAAGCAGCTGTCTTTGGGGAGAGGGACTTCTCTGGTGCTTTTTTGTACTGTTGGAATTTTCTGTACCATGTGTCACTTTCCGTAAAAACTCATGTTTAAAAAAAGGCAGAATAGTAGCTTTAAAAAGGAAGGAAATTCTGACACCTGCTACAACATGGATGAACCATGGGGACGTGCTGAGTGAAATAAACTAGACACAAAAGGACAGATGCTGTACGACCCCACTTACACGCGGTCCCTAGACGAGTCATGCTCACAGAGACAGAACGCAGGACGGAGGGCGCTGGGGCGGGGGGGGGGGGGGGGGGGGGGGGGGGGGGGTGGGGCGGGGTGGGGGGGGTGGGGGAGGGAGACATGGAGGAGGGAGCACAGTTGTGGGGGGAACTTCACACTCTGTTGGGCAGTTGAGGAGGTAGCCCTGGGTGGGAATGGCTGCCCAGGCCCCTAGGAACCTCCGGATCAGGACCCATTGGAGGAAAGTGGGCCATGCAGAAGGTATGTGTCTGCCCCAAGCAGGCTGCCCCTGGCGCTCAGCACCCCGAGTGTAAATGGTATCAAGGAAAGGGCCCATGGGGAAGGGGATGCTCAGGAAGACAACCTTGCCACAGGCACTTCAAGATTTGATGTTTGAGGACAGCAAGGTGAGGGCAGTGCTTAACTCCAAGAGCTGCCTGGCCTTGGAGCTATTTCAGACATCAGTGTGGGAGAGCGCAGTTACTATGTGGGAGGCTGATTTTGAAGGTGGCCAAAGGGGACCACCCCTGCACCTGGGGCCCCAGTTTTGCCTCAGAGGAGGACCTGGACAGGCACCCAAGGGTTAACACTCTAGCTTGCATCTGGCTGGGCTGGCTTTTCTCCCACTCCTTTCTTCCTCCCACCCACTAGCCTCAGCCTCTGGGGCAGCCAGGAAGGAATCTCTGCTGCAGGCTCAGAGAGATGCTGGGCATCACAGCCGCGCTGTTCATCCTCACCTGCCTCCCATCCTCTTCCCTCTTCCCCATCAACAAGGTCCCTGGAGAGACCTTGGCATGCGTGGACCCTCAGGCTGCCCTGTCTAAAACCAGCCCTCCTTCTTTCCACCTTTACTTTCCTCATCGTCTCACCCCAGCCCCCTTTTCATCTTTGTCTTGTTGCCTATCAGCTTACCCTTCCCACTCTCCCCTCTCAACCCTATCTCCTCTCTCTCAGCTGGGCTTTTCCTCCCCTGTGGATCTGCTCTTCCTTCTCCCTCGCATCCCACCTGCAACCCCCTACCTCACCCCCCAAATATTTTTCCACTTCTCTCCCCGGAGGTTTCTCTTCCCATCGTCCTCCAGGTTCCTCAGAAGCAAGCCCATGGGGAGAACACTCACTGTTCATTAACAGTGCCACCCTGCACTTTCTAGAAGCTACAGCAGCTACTGCCTACTGTTGGCACAGGATATTCCCCACGCAGTCCTGAGCCCAGTCCCTGTCCACAACTGCGCATCACCAAACCTTCTTTTCACCTTCCTCTACCACTGCCAAGCCCAGGATCTCCTCAACTGACTGATCAAGATTCTGCAAATAAAAAAGATTCAACCCTGGGTCTGGTCCCCCCAAAACAGACTTGATTCAACCACCAGAGTCCCCAACAGCTCCTGCCTGTGAGCTGGAACAAGTAGTGGCTTGTCCGTCTTCCTCCTTCTGCCAGCAGGTTCCTGGGCACAGACCTTGGCATTCTATAAGCCGGATGACGCCTAAACTTTCCCCATCCAGAAGTGCCCACTCCCCAGCAGGGCCTGGAAGTATGTGGGCGGCTGCTGAGGAAGATGCCCACCTGAAAGGCACCCCACTCAGGGCACAGCCCCTCCGCCTGTCGCTTGGCGCGGTGGTCGGTCAGAAGGGAGAAAGGCAGGGACTCCCCTGTCTGACACCGAGCCTTTGCCCGCGGCTGCCAACCCTCTCTCCTACCAGCGGGTGGCTCAGTGTGCCCCTCCGTGCAATGGGGTGAGCAGTCTTCCCTTTTCCAGGGAAGTGCTGCAGCCCCGGGAGCAGCTGCAGGTCCAGTGCGGCTCCAGCCCGAGCGCACCCGGGGCCCCAGGCAGTTCGCACGCAAAGATGGGAAGGAAACTGGAGCCCGCGGCCGCGGCGGGAGAGCCTCGGTAGGCGGCGCGCGCCGGGGCAGTCGGTTCCGAGCGGCCGCATCGGCCGAGGAGCTCGTGCCCCAGGCGGGCCGGGCCCCGCGCCCCGCGCCCCGCGCCGCGGCCGCCACTTACCGTGGGAGGGCAGCGCCCGGCGGCGCCCCGCGCGGTCATGCGGGCAGCTGGGTCCCGCCGGGCGCGTTGGCCGCCCGCGCTCGCTCGCTCGCTCGCCGGCTGCTGCAGAGCCCGCGCCCTGGCCGAGGGCCGCGCCGCTGTCCCGGAGTGCGGAGAGACGGACGGCGGCGCCGAGAGAACCCAGGCAAACTTTCACTTTCCCCAAGCCCGACTCCACTGGCCAGCTCCTCGGCACAGCCTTTTAAGCGGACTTTGTGGGGCATGTGGTTTACGGGAAATCACCCTGGACAGGCGCCAGACACACACACACACACACACACATACACACCGCGCGCGCACTGACACAGACACACACACTCCAGAGGCCCACTGAACCGCCTCCCCTCCCCCACCCCTCGGGCTGGTCTTCTCCGCCTGTCGTCCCAGTCGCCCTGTTTTCCGTGCTCGACTCCGAAGCCTTCGGGGAAAGTAACGCGGGCTCCCCGCCTCCCCCGTTCCACGAGCGGGTTTGGACAGAGCTTTTCCTTTCCTTCCGCGCTCTCCAAGCGGATCCAGTGCTCTCTTTCTAATATTCTCCTCAAGGGACTTTCCCTCTGGGCCTGAAAATTCCCAAATCTAAGCAGGAAATAGACTGAGAGCAGGGGCCAGCGCTGATAACTGGGCCCTCCCCCCCCCACCCCCCCCCGCCGCCCCGCCCTGTGCAGGCTGCAGCACCTTGTGCAGCCTGCGTCAGCGGCTTCGCAGGCAGCCTCTTCCTTCCAGTGCAGCCCCAAGCAGCCCACCCAGCCTCTTGTCTCCCATCCTGGGGCAGGGTACAGACAGCGAGGCTAGCTACCTGACCAGGAGGGAAGGGCTGTGTCCTGTGACAAGGAGTTGGGAGGCTCTCCTATGGGCCAGGAGACACTCTGGGCACTTGACCTTCGGGTGATGTAAATGCTGGCTGGTACCCGCTCCCTCTTGACTGCCAAAACCTGGGGTGATTCGCACCTGGGTCCTAGGTTTCCCTTGATGCTTTCAGAAATGCCTTCACTGAGATAATTAATTCTATTTTATCCTTACATGAGAATGAATCCAAAAGAGCCTAGT